TGGTGACAAGCCAGCAGCCATATAGCACAAGGGACTGGCAACAATTTTTGTATCCAAACTCTGCTCCCAAGTCCTTCAGGTGAAAAAGGCTGAATCTGTGCAGGGGGATGGAATGTCAACTAAGAAACACTTCTATTAATGTGCTGACTCTCTTACCTTTGGATTTCCCCTGATTTCCCCATTTTCTCTGCATGGGAATGCAAATTGTTGTTTCCTATTTGCCAGCCCCTGCCTGTTACCTTCATCACAGGTCTCAGGTGGGATGCAGAGCACTGAGTGTTGTGTCCACCCAGAGACCTGGAATAAGTGCCCAGGGAATCACTGATGGAAACCAGGCAATCACTGATAGAAACCAGGCATGGAAAGTAAAGTCATCTCCCAGTGAGAAGGAAGGGTCTTAGCCTTTCCTGGGGCTGGGATGTTGTTTCTGGGCTCTTGCTGGTACTTGTTCTCAAAAGCATCCTCATGTTTCTGCAAGCAGCTGAATTAATTTAGCTTTTTTTTTTTTTAATTTATTCTTGGTTTATTTTGAGTGGTGGGGAAGGGAATTGCACCCAGGCTAGGAACCAAACAGCCAAAGAGTGACTCTAAGGCACAAAGCTGGCAATGGAATAGACTGCTGGGAGACAATCAGAGAGAAAGGGAAGTATTCCAGAGCTATCCCTGTGTCTCAGTGTGCATGGATTATCAGTGTGGGAGTTTTTATACTGGAGTAGTTTGGAGCTAGTGAGATTACTCATGATTTTTATAACATTTACTAGATCAGCATCAGTGTCCAAATGGGAGATATCTGCATGTGCCAAACAACATCTCTGAGATGTCAGCAAGGGTCGCTCGTTGTTGTTGGCAGGAGGCCAAAGGCAGCAAAGGCCAAATCACCCCAGGCTCATTCTGCCACTCCGTGTTCCTGTCCCAGGTCAGGGCTGTGCCTGCTCACCTCTGTCCAGCAGCCACTGCCATTTCATCCTGCCTCAGGTCACGCCCAACTCAATCAGCACTGGCTTACTATGAAATGCCCTCAGTGATTTTTTATCTTAAAGCACTCCAGGGGAAAGTTTAAATATTATTTCTGGCTCCTTTGGCTGCTAACTCTCACAGCATTTTCATGGAAGTTTCCACACTGTTCTGTAAAACTGTAAGATGCTTTTGGCTGATTTATGTTGGCCGAAAATCATTGCAGTAGACTAAAAAAAAAAAAGAAAGAAGGATTTCGTTTGTGCTTTCGAGTAATTTCTGTGTGAAATGACCAGATACTTGTGGAGCTGTGGCACAGCCAAAGCAGCAAAGGTTGGCTTTGAGGGACCTGCCAGCACAACCTCTGCTAGGGTGATAAATTACCTCCAGCACGTGGGCTGGGAACATTTTGACTTGGGAAAGGTTGTTAGCATTTCCTGTGGTGCTCGGGAGGCTGGGCTGGGGCTCCTGCACTGCTGGCTGCACACGAGCCTTGGCTCGCTGGGGAAAGGGCAGTGGGCTGCTGGGGCACTGCTCAAACAGAGGCTGTTAGCCAAAAACTGCCAGGACAGGACAACCTGCACCTCTGCACCTTGAATATGGCAGCACAAAGAGCCAGCAGATCCTGCAGGGCTGAGCCCACACCCCTCTGACTCCAGGACATCCTCTGGCTGCCCCAGTCTGCACCTGGTCCTGCTGCTTCTGGCTGGGCTAGAGTTAATTTCCCCCCCAGAGCCTGGGATGGGGCTGTGTTTGGGATTTGTGCTGAACACAGGGATTGTAAATTGAGATGGTTTTGCTCTGTCTGAGCAGGGCTCACACAGAACCAAGGCCTCTCCTGCTCCTTGTACTGCCACGCTGGCAAGACAGCTGGGAGTGCATGGGAGGGGAAAGAGCCAGGAAAGGTGATCCCAACTGCCCCAAAGGATTTCCAGACCACAGGACATCCTGGTGATCCCAGCTGCCCCAAAGGATTTCCAGACCACAGGACATC